TAAGGAATCCTCACTAAAACAACATCTGAGAGTTCATACAGGAGAGAAGCCATTTCAGTGTTCAGTGTGTCACAAAGACTTTAGACAAAGGGGTCACCTGAAGTCACATATGAGACTTCATACTGGAGAGAAACCATATCAGTGCTCAGTGTGTACAAAGTTATTTACAGTAAAATGTGCTCTGGTAAAACATATGTGCAGTCATACCGGAGAGAAGCCATTTCAGTGTACAGTGTGTCAAAAAAACTTTACACTAAGTTTTCAACTCACTTCACACATGAGACTTCATACAGGAGAGAAGCCATATCAGTGCTCAGTGTGTTTGAAAGACTTTGTTGATAATTTTTCACTAAAAAAACACCAGAGAATTCATACAGGAGAGAAGCCATATCATTGTTCAGTTTGTCTGAAAAACTTTTCTAATAAATCCTCACTACAAAATCATCAGAGAATTCATACAGGAGAGAAACCATATCATTGTTCAGTGTGTATGAAAGACTTTACTGAAAGATCTGCACTAAAAAAACACCAGAGAGTTCATACTGGAGAGAAACCATACCATTGTTCAATGTGTCCAAAACAATTTTCAGTAAAATGTTCTCTAGTAAGACACATGAGCAATCATAGAAAAGAAACACATAAGTGTCCAGAGTGTCAGAAAGTATTTTCAAGTAAGTCTTGTTTAGTAAAGCACATGACACTTCACAAAGGACATAAACTGTACAAATGTTCAAAGTGTCAGAAAAGCTTTTCAGTAGAAGAAAATTTAGTAAAACATTTAAAAAATCATGGAGAAGAAACACCATGCAAGTGTTCAGAGAGTCAGAAAGGCTTTCCAAGAAATGAAGATTTAATATGTCATCAAAAAATTCATGAGGGGGAGAAACCATATAGTTGCTCACTGTGCTCCCAGAGCTTTTCACAAAAATTAGAATTTGAAAATCACATGAAAGGTCACAACACAGAGCAACCTTATCAGTGTTCAAGGTGTCTGAGGAATTTTGCACATAAAACTAACCTAGTAAATCATATGGTAACTCATATATGATAGAGAATACATAGCAGTTTGAATTGTTTTTAAAACTTTAAGAAAATTATATTTTGTAAAACCTCATATGACTGGTCACTTTAGCAGAAAAATCCAAGTGAAATTGATGCTTTTGATTAGAAATATGTGTGTGAGAAATATTTAACACATAAAATAACACAAATATAAAATAACAGTAAGGCAAGACTAAAATACACTTGGAAATACAATTAGTTTATTTGTACCTGTCTAGTGTACTTATAATATTAGTTAGTTTATTCCTACCTATTTAGTTAACTTAAGAATACTAGTTAGTTACTCAGGAAGGAATAACTTCCTGAGTAGTGCACTTAAGAATACTTGTAACAGCTTGACAAAGTTCCTGGACAGCAAAACATTGCCACAATAAAACGTTGCATTAGATGCACATATGCCTGTTTACTTAACACTTTAAAACACAAGTTAATTTATTCCCATCTGTCTAGTGCACTGAAAAATACAAATTAATTCATTCTCATCTCTCTAGTGCACTTTAAAATACAAGTTAATGTAGTCCCGTCTGTCTAATGCACTTGAAAATACTGGTTCTTTTATTTCTACATGTCTAGTTAAGCATTTTATAAATCACATTCATTGAACATTGTCATTCATGAGTGTATTCTTTAGTAAAACAACAGAATTATTGGAATCATTAATCTCTTAACTCTTTAACTGTCCAAACGTTGATCTAAGTTCTTACTGCTAGTGCTCAAAACATAGATCAACCTTTTATTTTCCTGCCTCCAAATTTAGCACGATAGGCGTGATAGGCCTAGGCAGTATAGAATGGGTCTTAACACTTGGTGTGTGCACTATTAAAAATAAATCTGGGACCACTTAGTACCTTGTGGGAGCACCAGCTAGAGCAAATACTGTGGCAAACCCCAGGGATTTACTAATGCCATGTCGTATTAACATTTTTACGAGGAAAGTGATATTGACTCCGAGTTTACTGGCTTTCAGATGAATGTTTACCTGGAATTTACCATGAGAGGGTTTTACGGGTCAACGTTCCCATGGCTTAGTCTGAGACCAGGCCTCATGGAGGATCAGGGTCTGATCAACCAGGCTGTTACTGCTGGCCACATGTTCACTGTTGTACGAACCACAGCCCGCCTGGTCAGGTACTGACTTGAAGTGCCTGTCCAGTGCCTGCTTGAAGACATCCAGGGGTCTATTGGTAATTCCCCTTATGTGTGTTGGGAGGTAGTTGAACAGTCTTGGGCCCCAGACACTTATTGTGTTGTCTCTCAGTTAACTCATGGCACCTCTGCTTTTCATTGGGGAAATGTTGCATCTCCTGCTGAGTCTTTTGCTATCATAGGGAGTGATTTTCATGTACAAGTTTGGTACTAATTCCTCTATGATTTTCCAAGTGTATATTATCATGTATCTCACCTGCATTCCAGGGAATACAAATCAGAAGCCTTCAACCGTTTCCAGTAATTTAGGTGCCTTATCGTACTTATGTGTGCAGTGAAAGTTCTTTGTACACTCTCCAGGTCAGCAATTTTGCCTGACTTGAAGGGGACAATTAGTGTACAGCAGTACTCCAGGTTAGAGAACAAGCGATTTGAAGAGAATCATCATGGGCTTGGCGTTCCTAGTTTTGAAGGTTCTCATTATCCATTTTATCATTTTCCTAGCAGATGCGGTAGATACATTATTGTGGTCTTTGAAGACGAGATCCTCTGATATTATCAATCCCAGGTCCTTCACATTACTTTTTTGCTCTATTGTATGGTTAGAATTTGTCACATACCCTGATACAGTTTTAATTTCCTCAAGTTTTCCATATCTGAGTAGTTGAAATTTCTCTTTACTGAACTTCATTGAACCATGTGCAACATTTGTGCAACATCTTTTCAATTTTGATACCATTGGTAGTGTCATCCTTTCAGAATGTCCTATAACCTATGCCCTAAGTAAAGAGAAATGATTCTGTAACATATAATACATGTTCAGCAAGCTGGCTGAGTGGCTGACCTGGGTAGCTCTATCTGTCTCTGTCTTTGTCTGCCTGTCTTTATCCCAGAGCCTCTTATAAACCAGAATCAAAAACTAATTAAGTTTATTTTGTTACAGGTACACATACGTACAGTTATCATGCACAATGTAAATTACCTAGAATAACACCCCCCCCCCTCCAAAAAAAAAATAAAAAAGTGCTGTTCTGTGCTTGTTGATGAAGCATAAGCATGACTGGCAAGCAATACGCATTTCCATTTGTTCAGAAGCGACTGTTCTGCAACATGTGCAATACTTGTTGGCTCATAAGCATCTCTCTCTGAGACAGAGAGAGAGAGACAGGCAGACAGAGATACACACACAGGCAGACAGAGAAAGACAGGAAGACAAATAGCAGAGACAGAAAGACAGATAGATAGCTGTGACTTTGTAAATGGTCCAAGTCGGACCGAAACATCGTAAGCTCCTCTCTTCTATGTGCTGGTTATTTGTGTATCGCTCCAGTCATGGTATTGTGCCTTTTTTTGTTATTTTAGATCAAATAAAAAAAAAACGCATACCAAAGTTCACTGGGAGCAGTGCATGATCAGCAATAAAAGATAGATACATTTTTTATTTCTTTGAAAAGGTTACAATGTGTAATTACAATTTTGATTTGTTAAATGCTGGGGCATTTCGGGCAGATTAATCCTAATACTATACTTAAAAACTACTTCAGTTTAGACAAGATAAGAGTGGTTATCATTATTTTATCTTAATACAAATGCAAGGTAGTCAAAGTTGAAGGTTTATAAGAATAATAATCTTGATGTTGCACATAACGAATGTTAATATTAAAAATAATGGTTCAAACTGTACTGTTTTAAGTATGAGTAAGTGTTCTCAATAGGCTAGAGGTCATATAATATTTGGGAGAGTTGCTTCAAACTGGTTAGATGTTGGTTTGGTTAGTATTGAGAAATAGATGACTTTTAAGCATAACCCTAAATTTGTATGTAGTCGGGATCTTTTACTGGTTCAGGTAGTGAATTCCAGATCTTCGGGCCCTTTATGTGCATTGCATTTTTTGCATTGAGTGACTAGTGACTACACCATCAGCAGTGTAGAGTAACACTGTTGTCTGACACTGTACTTCAAGGATTTTCATACACTTCTAAAAACATTGCTGGGACATATAAATAATTTATATTTCAAGACCAAGCCAGATGAACATGTTCCCCTGTCAGTGTGTTTGTGACTTTTATTACTATTTCTGTATCTAATATTAGTATCAGAACAAAGATTGGCTACCAGATCACAAGAGCTGCTATAAATTTTAATTATCAGAACATAAATATTGTACCTACAGTGCTCGTCACAGCATTATGCTGGGTAAGCACCCCAGCACAATGCTGTGATGTTAATCAAAGGCCTACCATACAGGGAGATCTTTTTTCGTCAGTGCATTCTGCTGGGTAGCCGCTGTCAGCATGACATCTCGGCCTGCTGCCACAGTTCACAATGACTTCTCATTGCTCACGTGGCTGCCGTGGCGAGAGTAAGTGTTGCACTGTTGTCTCTCACCTGCCCCATCTTTTGTCCAGTGCTCCCTTTGGTTTTGGGACTATACATCTTTGATTATTGGTAAAAGGATGTCTTTAACACCTGAAACTGTAGCTCAAATTTTAGGGCTTCACAAAGCTGGGCACCAGACGAAAGAAATAGTGGAGAAAGTTGGTGTGTGTGAGCGTTCAGTAAGGAACTGTATGCAGCGTTTCAAGGCTGGTGGCGGTGTCGAGGTACCGTCTGCCAAACCTCAGCCTGGCCCCTCAAAGAAGACATTTGTTCGTACCTTAACTGTGTTAAAGAAGCAGTTACTCTCTCACTGAATGCTCACACACACCAACATTCTCCACTATTTCTTTCATCTGGTGCCCAGCTTTGTAAAGCCCTGTGATTTGAGCTTTAGTTTCAGGTGTTAAAGATTTCCTTTTACCCATAATCAAAGATGTATAGCCCCAAAACCAAAGGGAACACTGGACAAAAGATAGAGTGGGTGAGAGACAACAGTGCAACACTTCCTCTTACCACAGCAACCACATGAGCAATGAGAAGTCACTGTGAATTGTGGCAGCAGGCCGAGACGTCATGCTAACGGCTGCTACCCAGCAGAATGCACTGACGAAAAAAGAACTCCCTATAATCTTTGGCCTTTGATTTTCATCACAGCATTGTGCCGGGGCGCTCACCCGGCATAATGTAGTGATGTGCACTGTAGGTAGTAGTTGGTGGACAGCAACCATCCAGGGAGGTACTACTGTCCTGCCAAGTGAGTGTAAAATGGAAACTTGTTGTTTTACATGATGGTAGGATTGCTGGTGTCTTTCATTTTGTCTCATAAACATGCAAGGTTTCAGGTACATCTTGCTACTTCTACTTACATGTAGGTCATACTACACTTGCATGTTTTTTTTTTTTTTTTTTTTTTTCACGAGTCGGCCGTCTCCCACCGAGGCAGGGTGACCCATGTACAAGCATATATATACACACTCCTCTGGGTTTTCTTCTATTTTATTACTAGTTCTTCTTTATTTCCTCTTATCTCCATGGGGAAATGAAACAGAATTCTTCCTCTGTAAGCCATGCATGTCGTAAGAGGCGACTAACATGCCAGGAGCAAGATGCTATTAACCACTTCTCCTCTTCTCCTATATACATTACTAATGTTAAAAAGAGAAGCTTTTGTTTTTCTTTTTGGGCCACCCTGCCTTGGTGGGATACTGCCGGTTTTTTGAAAGAAGAAAAAATATTGTAAATTAAAAAATACAAAAGAAATAGGTACTGTGGAACCTTGGTTGATGAATTTAATTCATTGCAGATGTTGATTCGACAACCAGAATGGATGAAAACCAAAGCAATTTTTCCCATAAAGAATAATGTAAATAGAATTAATCTATCCCAGACCCTAAATGACAATATAATAATTTATTAAAAATGTACTACTACATAAAACTGTAAAAAATTAAGATTAAAGAAACTTTAATTGAAATACTGATCAGTAAATGAAAATTTAACTTCATCTTACCTGTCAGAGGAGAGCTAGTGGCACACTGGAAGCAGGTGGAGGAGAGGACGGGGTATGTTACTGCTTGGAAAGTCTCCTATTAATATGTTAGGCAACTGTCCTTCTGGTTTCTAGTGTTGTTTCCCTTCTTTGTCTCTTTTAACCACTAACACCTTGTTCTGGCTCACTGGTTCTTTGTCTTACTAAAAACCTATCCAGTGAGGTTTGTTTCAGGCTCCATTTTAACACTTGTCTAATTGAGACATTACACTCTCATTATACATGTTAGAGATGGACGACCACTGCTTTGTCCTGGATGGTATTTTTCAGCAAACTCCTGCACTTCACACCATTTAGCACACATTTCTTTGTCAAGTGCCATGGGCACATCATCCCTTCTCTCCTCTTCCTCTGATGACAGTTCCTCCACTACAGTCTGTTGCTGCTCCTTCTGAAGGTTTACAAATTCTTCTGGGGTGAGTTCATTTCTATGCTCCTCCACCAACTCCACATCATCTTCAGTCACCTATAGGCCCAAGGTCTGCCCAGGAACACAATATCCTCTACCAGCTCAGGCTCATCTTCAAAGCCTTAGAAATAACCTACTAGTCCATGGGATGGATGAGAGGAACAGTGTTAGGAGGCAAGAACTTAATAATAATAATTCTTTCTTTCATTCAACACACCGGCCGTATCCCACCGAGGCGGGGTGACCCAAAAGGAAAAACAAAAGTTTCTCCTTTTACATTTAGTAATATATACAGGAGAAGGGGTTACTAGCCCCTTGCTCCTGGCATTTTAGTTGCCTCTTACAACACGCATGGTTTAAGGAGGAAGAATTCTGTTCCACTTCCCCATGAAGATAAGAGGAAATAAACAAGAACTAGAAAGAAAATAGAAGAAAACCCAGAGGGGTGTGTATATATATGCTTGTACATGTATGTGTAGTGTGACCTAAGTGTAAGTAGAAGTAGCAAGACATACCTGAAACCTTGCATGTTTATGAGACAGATACACAAATAACCCGCACATAAAAGACAGAAGCTTACGACGACGTTTCGGTCCGACTTGGACCATTGACAAAGTCACACTAGTGTGACTTTGTCAATGGTCCAAGTCGGACCGAAACGTCGTCGTAAGCTTCTGTCTTTTATGTGCGGGTTATTTGTGTATCGTTCCAGTCACGGTATTGTGCCTTTTTGTTATTTATGAGACAGATAAAAGACACCAGCAATCCTACCATTATGTAAAACAATTACAGGCTTTCATTTTACACTCACTTGGCAGGACGGTAGTACCTCCCTGGGCGGTTGCTGTCTACCAACCTACTACCTAGAAAAAATAAATAATAATTTTATTTTAGCATGATACATGCTGAACAAAGAAGTAGTTAAACTGGGTGTACAGCCAAAACCCCTTTATATGCAGAACATTTCAGGCAACCTTAAGACTAACTCAAGATTAATAAGGCAATAACAGTTCAGTAATTGTACATATAGTTGTTGAGTTATAATGAATACAAGAATATTGAATATTCTCTTAGTTCATGCTATATGGCTTTAATAAGTTTATTAGAGAAGAATTACAGTTTTAATTATTAGCCTGAGGTGGACACAATGGAAAGATTAACATTTGAGAGGTTTACGGATATTGAGAGTAAGTATATATTGATTATAATGTTTTAACTAAGTTCATGATATTGAGCAAATGCACATATAGTTTTTACGTATTTATTTATGATGGGCTAGGATAGGTTAAGAAGATAGTGTTTTCTAACTGTAGTTTTAAAAATGCTTGCCGAACCAGTGGTACTGGAGATTTTTGGCAGTTTTCCAGATTTTGGGTCCTTTTATGTATATTGGGTTTTTTAAAAGATCTAGCCTGACATAGAGAATATCATAGAGATTTTTGTGCCTAGTATTGTGTTCATGGGTCCTATTGCAACTGTCAAGAAAGTGCTTCAGGTTGGAATTTATATTAGAATTGATTGTTCTGTAAATGTAGGTGGCACAGTATTACGAGTGAATGTGTTGGATATGGACGTTCAATTTCAGGTTCCTGTCAAAGTGTAGACCCAGAAATTTTCCCTCATTATGTTTAGCAATAAGGATGTTGTTAAGCGTAATGTTTAGTTGGATCTCACTTGCTCTACTCCCAAACATAATGTGAAAGGTTTTGTCTATATTAAGCCTAAGTTTATTGACAGTCATCCAGGTTGCTATTTTTGTGAGCTCTTCATTAACAGTAGTATTGAGTGAGGCTAGATTAGGAGGAGAGATGACAAAAGTCATGTCGTCAGCAAAGAGAATAGGTGTAAGTTGTTGTGATACGCTTGGAAGGTCGTTGATATATGAAATTAAAAGTAGGGGGCCTAGAACACTTCCCTGTGGTACACCAATGTCCAGGGGTCTTGTTGAGGAGGTTGTGTCCTTGATAGAGAAATATTGCTTTCTGTTAGTAAGATAGAACTTGATACTTGCAAGTGCATGGCCTCTTATACTGTAATGATTAAGCCTGAGGAGTAAGATGCTGTGGTCTGTTGTATCAAAAGTTTTCTTAAGGTCGATAAAGAGTCCAAGCAAGTATTCGTTATTTTCAAGTGCTGTGTAAAGTAGGTTTAGCATTTTTATTATTGCATCATTTGTGCTTTTGTTTCTCCAAAAGCCAAACTGGCAGGGGATGAGGATGCTTTGTGATGTTATGATGGAGTATAACCTTTTATGTATGAGCTTCTTGAAGATTTTGGAAACTAAAGGAAAGTTGGATATTGGCCTATAATTGTTTATATCTGTTGGGTCACCACCTTTATGTATTGGTGTAATCCTTGCTATTTTGAGTGATGCCAGGAAAGTGTTGGTTTCTAGTGATTTGTTAAAAAGTAATGTAATGATGGGTGAAAGGATTTGAGCTGCTCGTTTGTACAGTAGTGGTGGTACTTGGGTTACATTTCCTAATTTGTTTTTTAGAGAGTTAATATTCATGATAACCTCATTGGGCTCTGTTGGTGCAAGATAGAGGGATGTTGGGAAGTTTTCATCTAGATAATCATTAGCTCGAGCATTGGTAACTGGAATTTTACTGGCGAGATTTGATCTTACGTTTGAGAAGAAGTCATTTTTCTTGTTAGCTGTATCAACAGGCTGGAGTTTCGGTTTGTTTGGTTTAGTTAGTACAGTATTATTAGTTCTGTTCAGTTTGTGAGTACCTAGGATATGAGTGTGTCTTCCAGGTCTTTTTAATATCTCCTCTCATTTATGAGAATCTATTAGAATAGTATAGTTGCTTGGACTTTCTGATTAATTTGGTGAGGACTGACGTATAGTGTTTGATAAATTCTTTAGTTATTAAGTTCATTCTGTATTGTTCTTCATATTGATGTTACATATTGATGGGCCTTAGGATGCTGTTAGTAAGCCATGGGCAACTCAGTCTTTTATTATAATAACAATAATAATAATAATAATTTTTATTTTATCATGATACATGTTTGTACAAAGGCATATAACAATTTGGTGTACATGCCAAAAGCCCCTTTATATGCAGAGCATTTTGGGCAAACTTAAGACTAACTTAAGATTAACCCTTTGACTGTTTTGGTTGTATATATACGTTTTACGCACCACTGTTTCTGATGTATTTATACGCGTAAATTCTATCGGCTTCATATCAAGTGGGAGAAAGTTGGTAGGCCCACATGTGAGAGAATGGGTTTGTGTGGTCAGTGTGCACCACATAAAAAAATCCTGCAGCAGGCAGTGCGTAATGAGAAAAAAAAAACTCTGACCGTTTTTTGGATTAAAACGCTGAATTTGAGGTGTATTTTCATGTAGTATTTATCGTTGTATTCACGTTTTCATGGTCTCAGGTGATAAAATGGAAAACATATTAAAGAAATAGAGATGATGTTGATTACTTTCATGTTG